TACAAACCTCAATTTTAGTAATGCCAACCATTAACTATCATGATGCAAATGTAAATGATTTTGCCAATATGTAAATGTCCTCTTTGAAAATATAAATGAAAATGTACTATGCAAATACCAATCTAGTGATACAAATGCAAATGCTTACGTTGAGGGTGCAAATGTAAAGATCTATTGTAATGATGCCATCTACCAATATGCAAATGAAAATTTCAAATCCAATGATACAAATAGCCTAATAAAGATGCATATGCAATAACGATGATAATACAAATGCCTACTAAATAATGAAAATGTAATAATTTAAACAATTATCCAAATACTCATTTAAATGATACAATTCATAGTCTAAACAACAATACAAATGCAATAATCAAAACAAAGTATTTTCTTTGCCCAAGAAAAGTCATTCTTGTCATATTGGTTTGGGATTCATTTGTCTTTCATCCACCACAATATTTTTCAAAAACTCTCAAAAACAATAATTGACAACAGTTATTCCGAAATAATTATATGGACTTCACTCCAATTTTCATTTCTTCATAATGTTCATAAAAAATTGCCCCACATAACCATTTTTCATGATCAAAACAAAAATGTATTTTCTTTTTATTTTTCCTTTTAAACATGATTGAATCTCTTAAAACATGTGATTACTACATAGAATGAATGAAGTGAATCACAACTTGATATTTTGACATGAATTAGATCGTTAAGTATATCAAGATCTCAATTATTAAGGGAGACTTTGCCACTGAATGAGAAGGAAAATATCCTTGTTTCTTCATCTACACTTACAAATAAAAAAAAAGTTTCCTTTTGAGATATGAATTTCTTGAAAATCAATTTTTCGCAAAAAGATTTGTTTTAAAGCACAATCCATTTTTGTAGTCATTTATCTTATATGATATTTAAAAAAAAAAAAGGTTAAAACTAGTGTATAGGGTCAAATTTTGGGGAAAAAAAAAGCATAACTTTATTTATAAATCCACTTTACTTGTCTACATTCATGGATAAAAAAAACTATACTAATTATAGAAAATTACAAACATATCAACATTCAACTTAATCCAAACATATATAAATCAATCTCAACATAATAAGCACTCACCACACCTAAGGACCTTCTTATTTTCCTTTAGTTTTATAAAGTATTTATACACCAGACATTCAAATATATACCTCATATTTTTACATCGTCTACCTCATAAAATCGTATAACTCTTTTTACATCTTTTTGTCATTCCTAATCATATTAAAACTCCCATTATTTGTAAGCCTTACCTAAAAAAATCCCTTTATTTTTAAAATTTTTACCTTGCAGTTCTTGTAGTCTATAAAGTAATATCTAGTTAATCTAAAAAAAAATCTTAAATAAAATTTTTACCAATTTTTTTGGGATTTAATTCAATATTGTCAAGAAGCTTGTGCATGGTTTTCGAGAATTGTAAGAAGTGGGATTGAAAGAAAAACATAAAAAGATTTGAGCAAAGATAGAGTGAGGTTTTGGAAGTTGTGAGGGAGTAGGGATGGTGGTTCTTTTGAAATTTTAATTCAAAGAAATATTTGAACATAGTGAAGAGTTTGGTGAAAATTAGGTTCCGTCATTGGTTAAAAACTAGTTTATTTTTTAATTTAAATTTAAGGGAATAAAATAGAAAGAAATAATTTGTTAAAATTGAAAACTTTTGGAAATTTATTTGATTTAGATTGAGAAATTTGAGATTAAAGAGTTTAATGAAATTTTGAAAGGATTATTATTTTATAATTTAAATGAAAAATAAAACATTAAAAGATTAATATATATTTCTTTTATTATTTATTAACTTTCATTTTATTTGGATTTTATTAATAGTTTTATTGTTTTGATATTTGCAAATTGTTAATTTTTTAAATATGAATATTTTATTAAAATGTCAAAAAAAATTTAAATAAAACTTTTCATATAAAAAAATATAGTATGTCATTAATTATTTTAAAAATCATAAAAAAATTTTATGATTTTAATTATAATTATTATATTTTATAATAAAGTGTGTAAATTTAAAAAAAAAAACAATTACGATTAGAATGATATTTGTTATACTCATAACCACAATAAACATAATATAAACATAATAAACAATAAACATAATACAACCCATAAATATAAGGCGACCGAATATCCTTAATCACAGTTTAAATCCTGTATATAGAGCTACTTAGTTTGGGAAGTATGGTAGACTTTGAAGAGAAATAACAAGAAAATCTCTAAGCTTTGAATAGTCATTTAATATTGACAGGCTAGAAAAAAAAATGGTGTTAAAAAATTTCCTAGCCCTATCTAATTTCCTCTTTCGAGTATGTTGTTTACAATAATAATTAAGGTAAAGGATAAAGATTGATGAAAATGGAGTTTTTTCTCATGCCCAGATACTTTTTAATCTTAATTCCTTAACTAAAATACTTTTAAACTTTATTCCAAAATACAGGTACTTTTATTTTATTAAATTCCACATCAGCATTTTATTACACATCAACTTCTTCTTCTCCACTCCTCTCCCAACCCCTTCTTGCAAGGTCGCTTGCAAACTGGAAATATTCAAAAGTAACTAAATCAGATCAAATAAAAATTTTTGGAGAAAAAAATGTGTTAAAATACATAGTCTTGATAAACAAATAATCTCTCGCTAGCTCGCTAGCCATTGAAGCAAAGACACCTAAACCTTTTTCATTCCTCACTCCTCAGTCCTCCTAATTCAAAACTAACAAAAGCATCAACACAAGCGTGTTAGACCTGCTCTAAAGAAAGCTAATAAGCATACCAAGCACTCATCCAACCCTTTTAGGCTTCTTAATCTCATTAGCACTCAAAAAAAAAAAAAAAAATCTTAGCCAACCTCTCTATAGACAAATACTTACTCAATCCGCTTCTCTCAACGGTGAATATGGTGGAGATTTCTTATGTCCATTTGTTTGGACTTCTTCAAGTTGAGAAAAAAAAAAGCTCTACAAATTTTGGTTTTTATTAAAGATTCTTAAGATGCATTTTGGAGTTGAGATGTGGAGCATAAAACAGATTTTTTGGGATTTAAATCCAAACGAAAAATTGTGAGAGATTTGATGGAATTATAAGAGTTAAAGCTTTACTTTTTTAACATTTGATAAAAGTTGTAATCCCATTTGATTCAGGTATTTCTGTACATTTTCACTTGAGGTTGCAAACGCAACCTTGTAGAGAGACAGAAGAGAGGAGTTAAGGAAGAAAAAGCTAATGTGTAATAAAGTACTGACATGAAATGTTATTTACGTGAAAGTACCTGTATTTTGGAATAAAGTTTAGAAGTGTTCTAGTTAAGGAATTAAGATTAAAAAAATACCTGAATTTGGAAAAAGACTCGAGGAAAATGATAGCGAACAGACGCATTATGAAATGCTACCTGCGCCAAAGTTGATTCAGTTGATTTGATTTAGATAAAATTTATGAATGTGTGTGGATATATATAGTAAAATAACCCAACTTGAGTAGTCGAGTCAATAAGTGAGCAAAAATTTCCTTCCACGTTAGGTGACATTAAACTTAAAAAATACTAGTACAAGATATAGAAACAATGATAAATGGACTTAAACAATTGATTAATTAATACTAATACTATACTAGATCGAACTTTCAAAAGTAGCATCCTTAAGAAGGGAGGAAAAACAAAAAAGAATAGTTGCACATCCGTCATAAATTCCATATAATGACAATTATGATATATATAAGGGAGAAATTAGCTAGTTTTGCTCAGGGGATTGGAGGGTATTTGAAATAATGACGAATTTATGAAATTTAGAGATATCCCACATCATTTGATTTGATCCGATTAAATAAGATTAGAATATTTCATAATTAGGCTCCAGTAAGGTTTCGATATTAACATTATTATCCATCCCGAGATGGGATAACGATTTTCTAGAAGTTTGCTATTTGAATTTGATTATAAATAATATAATTTTTAATATTTGTATATATTTTTTATTTATAAACTATCTATTGCTAACATAAAAATTAATAAAATTAATTTATTAAATTTGTTAATTATATTTTTAACTTTAATTTATCTTTTAGAAATTAATTTTAAATTTACAAATCAAATTTTATTTTTATACTATATGAGCAATATTCAAATATTAAAAATAAAAGATATTTTAATATTTTAATAAATAATCGAATTTAAATACGAATGTAAAAAATAAAGGATTACCGTATCTGTACGGGAAAATAAAAATGAAACTAAAGCTTCATTTGACTCTAAACGGAGCTCCAATGCGATGCAATTGAGGCACCTTTTTGTCCAATCCTGCTGTGATGTTGTTGGTTGTTTGGCAAACATTCTCAAAATTCAATACAAAGCTTTTGTCTGCACTGAAACTCCGGTGAGAAACAGGAGTTTGGAGGGTGCACTGGCTAACTAGGATCCAAATTGGACAATAATGTCCAAACAAGTTATTTTTATTTTGTTTTTATCTTTAAATTTTTAATGATAAGACTTAAACACCCCTAATAGATAAAAATATTTCATTTTTTTAATTTATCTAAATAATATTTACAACTATTATAAGTATTATTACTTGAAATATTAAATATTTGAAATAATTTTTTATAATTTTTAATACTTAAAATCATAATTATTATTTATAATATAAAATAATATTTATCAATAGATTGAATAAAAAATTTAAAATTTAAAATTTAAAATATTAAATAATAAAATATATAATAATAATTATCTATATATTTTTAAATTAATATTTTCAATAATCATTTTTATTTTGACTTATCATCATCGTTATGTTTATGTTTATATTTAATTATATATTTTTATTATTAATTTTAATCTTATCATTAAATATATAATTTTATTATCATAATAATTAAATTTATTATTATTTTTATTTTTAATCTCGTTAAATTGCAAATTGTCAAAATAAAAGCCACACGTCGAAATCATTACCAATATTATTCTTTTGTTTTTCCATTGACCAAGCCACCGTCACAGTCACAACCACGGGTAGCATACGACTCATAACTGGTGGGACTTCAATTCAACGACCCCCAAAACAAACGCAAAACACGGGAGAAAAAGAAATAAAAAGAGAAAAGAAGTGGAAGAATCACAGCTTCAACTATTAATATTAATCCGTCTAATATTTCATCATTCCACAATCAATCTTTCAAAAAAGAAAAGAAAAGCTAGTAGAGAAAAGGGGGAGAGAGGACAGATACGGCAAATCTGGTTCATGGAGAGCTACTTTCGGATCGATCAAAGTGAAGAAGTTGACCATTACATTTGGGGCAATCTTCAACTTGCTTGGAGACCATGAAATACATAAGACAGCTCTTGCAGCCAGCCACAACCAATACATTGTCTTTGTCTTTATCCACCCGAATGTAGTTGTTCTTGTTGTAATGCCCTCTTTCTCTTGAAGAAGAAGGAGATGACTCCGTTGATGAGTCCTCACTGTCGTATGAACTATCATCATCATCCTCTTCTTCTGAGTAGAAATCTCTGCTGTACTCAGCTGCTGTCCTTGGATCCTCTCTTGCTTTCGTTCCGTTCCTCCAGTTTATGTAGTAAATCTCACCTGTCTGCCATTTACCCCCCAGGAAACCAAACAAAAAACAAAAAAATAAAACCCCACGCACCCACATCAAACAGTAAAACTGTAACATCAATAAACCAGATCAAAATACAAAACTCTTTCACATTTTAAGACTCTGAAAACTGGCTGCATAACTATAATGTACTACTACTCTATGATATATTGCTACCACATGAATCAGGCCAAAATAGAAATTGAGTCTTTTACCTCTTTTCAATTTCGTTAGCACAAAAGAAATACAAGAAGGACATCACATATTCACATGAACTTTCATAAATTACAATCAATCCCTCAAGCCAGCTTAACCCCTTAATTCCTTCATCCCTTTCAGAAAAAAGAAAAAGAGAAAGATAGTAATTGATTCTTATGATCCAAAATGAAAGGAATTTATCTGGGTTTCAACTGTTAAACGTGTTCCCCGTCTTTCACAATTCTAACTCCTACAAGAAAGGATTAGCCGTAAACCAAAAGAGGTGAAAGAAATGGGAAAAGAGAAAAACAAAGAAAGGTTATTTTTTTAGGGTTATGGTCTGAATCCTTGCGCTTAGGATGCGTGTGGGAGAAAGGGAGACCATCAGAGAAGCAATAAATAAAAGAAGAGTGAAAAAAAATCAATTAAAGAACAAAAACAAAAAGTACACAACAAAGGAAAGAGCAAGATCTGCCATGGGTTTCGCATTAATTGCGTCTGAAACAAGAAAAGAACTAAAACAGTTGTAACCATTTCAAAAGACAGACAAAAGAGAAAAAAAAAAAAGAATAGTAACGAAAAGAAAAAAAAAAAAAAAACCAACCTTTAGATCAAGGCATTGTTCCCAATGGTAAGGAAGAGAGAGATGGGATTTGAGCTCCAAGCTAGTGTCAGAAACGGTGTTTGGAAGGTTGTTATCAGCTGATGTCGAAGACCGCCGTATTATTCCGTTTTCAGCGCTGCCTCCGCTGCTGCTTCTTATCTCGTTGTTCAAAGAACAGTTTTGTAAAGACCTCTCCAAAGATTCTGTGATGGTTGCCATGTTTGGAGGTTTCATTACTAACGCAAAATCCCACCAAAAATAAAGAAATGATGAGAAATTCGAACAAAGGAAAATAAAAAGAAAAGAGAGTGAGTGAGATTAGGAGAGTCGGGATTTTGAAGGGAATAAAATGAGGGGAAAGGGATGGAAGGAAGCAAGGGTGCGTTTGTGCTTGAGAGATGATAATATGAATTCTTTTTTGGGTGGGTAGAACTAGAAACACAAAAGCTTCACGCTCGCTGTACGTGCGAGTGGGAATAAAGGAAATAACCCCTATGTGGGCCCACATCTGTAAACTCCAGAGAACGTCTGCAGTATGCATTTTGTCTCGCGTCTGAGCATAGGCATTTTAAAAGGTCACAGACGCAGCGGAGGCGCGTGATGCAAAATCCCGTCCCGTTGCGCTCTACCTCTGATTACTGAAAAAAGTGAAAAAGGTTTAGGATTGAGGAAATCTTTGGTGGGGTTAAAATTTTTTGAGAAGGAAGAGTTTTATTTTTGAGAGAGAAGATACCTAAGTTGAAAATTGATGTTACCAAAAAGAATGCTGCAACTCTTTTTAACAGTTTCTGGTTTTCGAACGAGAAAAAGAAAAAAGAAAAGTTGGGTGGAATTCTTCTCTGAGGATTGAGGAGGCACAATGTCTCATTTGCTGTTGAAAAAATTAGCTTCAAAGAAGGCAAAGCGAAGGAGTTGTTTTTGTTGTTGTCGTCGTCGTCGGGTTTATTTTCTTAATAAAAAATTTTTTTTTGTGAAGTCAGTTTTGGACTTTAAAGATTAGGACAAATTTTGATGAGAAAAGTAAGCGAAATACTTCTGAAGTTCAGCAATCTAATTATCATTTTCTCAATATAGGCCATGGAAATTGGATTCCAACTTCAAGATTTCAAGCGAAGTCTAACTTCACATAAATCTGAGATCTCTTGTTATCGATCCAAACCGATACTTTTCCATTCAACTCATTCATATGATTTTTGTTACGCTTAGAACTAATAACATTAAGCACAAGTCAAACAAGTTTAAAAGCATTTAAAAGTCAAAAGCAGGCGTGAATTATTTTTGATTTTTCAGCCATTGTACATGGCACCGAGTGGTTAGGATTAAAGCATATGCTTTACTTAGAGAAGTTTATAAATGTATTAATAAAAGTTTTGAATTGTATGCAAGATTTAATGTGGTTTGATTCCGAAAAAGATTGTTTATTTCCAATTTTTATTTCAAACCAAATAAATGAGACTAAAATTTGAAGAGATGAAGTCTGGCTTGTGCGAGAAACGTGTTGTACTTTTCTAATTTTAATCCAACTTAACTCAATTTGTAAATCGCTTTTATATATTAACTAAATTGATGCGCTCACTTCCTCGAACGGTTTCTTAAAAGTATTTATAAATTTTTTTATTTAATTAATTTTAAAATATAATTTTAAATTATATTATATTAAATAAATTTTATTTAATAAATTTTATTTTTTAAATATATTTAAATATATGTATTGATATTGGTATAATTATATTTTATCAATCATGAAAATTCTATATATATATATATAAATTAATTATTTAGAAATTACTTAATAAAAATGCATTTGAAAAATTATTTTATATGAATTTTAAAAAAATATTTCTATTTTATTTTGTTTCTTAACATGTATTTTTATTTATGGTATAAAAATATATTAATTTTTTTGTTATCAAATTCTTTTAACAAAAATAAAATTTTCTAAATAGTTTTTTATCATTTAATTTATTTCATGAATTATTATATTTAGTTTTTATTCTTCCCCTTTTTATTTAAAAATTAACTGATAAATTTAATTCACGTAAAAAAAATTAAATAACCAAACAAAGGCTTATAATTATTTAATTAACTTTTGGATTTAGTCTAAATTTTTAAATACAAATAAGAAATGCAAAAATGTTAGGGCATTATTCTTAATATAGTCAATCTATTTTTTAAAAACTTTGGTTTTAAATTCCCAACCAATTAATTCTCTTTAAATGGATCGATTTTACAAAATTTTTTTAAACTTTAATCCGAAAATCATACTCTTTTTTTTAATTTTTTATGACAAAATGATTATTTTATAATATTAAACAACTATTAATTATTTTATAATTTTGAAATTGCTTGGTCACTTCCTGACTTTATTTTGCCTTTTGAGAGTTGATGGTTTCTCAAGTTGTGTCTTGCATTGTAGTTGATTACAACAGTTGATTTACTCTTTCAGCATTCATCAATTACTGGCGTGGAAAAGAGATATTTGATTACTAGCAAAGATGTCGATGCAATCCATTATGCAAGTTATGAAAACAAAGTAAATGAGTTGCCTATTTTACCGATCTTTCCTTCATTCTAAATTTAGGGCTAACTCTAATAATTTCTTTCATGATGTTTATATATTCCCCCTTCATTGATAACATAACTTAAAGTTGAAATCCAATGTGAAGAGTAAAAAAGACCTAAAGCCTTAGACATCCAATAATTATAAATTTAATAGAATTTGAGATCCAACAAAAGTAAGAAAAAGGATAAATTTTATCTAAATGAATAAAAAATTGATGACTTAACGGTAAATTGAAGCAAATTGAAATTTAAGAACAACTTATATATTGTTATTGATTTTGCAAAAATAATTATAAATTATAAACTTAAAGAATAAGAAAGAAATGTCGAGAAATTATTCTTGAACCAATGAACAAAAAGTAAATTTTTTATTCATAGATAAAAGATGAGACAGGTATAGGGTCAAATTATAATAGATATGCGCATGCTTCCTAGTTGTATAAAAGAGGTATCGGAATTGAAGGAATAACCTTTTTATAATTAAATATAATAATATTTAATAAAGTTGATTTGGCATTTGAAATGAATACTAAAATTGATGAGCTAACATGAAATTAAATAGAAATTGAAGATGGTAGGGGTGTTCATTTGGTCAATTCGATTAATTTTAAATTGAATTATCAAAAATTAAATTAGCTTAATTATATTATTTTATTTTTGTTACTCGAACCAAAATTATTAATTTCAAAAATTAACTAATCGAATTGAATTTTTTTGTTTAGTTCAATTAATTTTTTGGGTTAACCAAATAATAAATATATTTAAATTATATTATATTTTAAACTCTTAATTTCGCACATTTTAAATAAATTAAATAAAATTATCCAACAAAATATTCAAATACCAAAATATTATATTAAAAACTCTAATAACTTATAAATAAAATGATCCATTTCATGTATGTTTCAATTCATATTTAGATTTTGTTATATTTCGATTAAAATTTTGGTTAATTCAATTTTCAAATCGAATTAACCAAAAATCGAAATTCTTTTAAAATCAATTTTGTTAATCGATCGAAATTAATTTAGTAATCAACAATGAATTAAATCGATTTTATTGATTAATTTGATAAAAACCAAATTATGAATATTCCTAAAAAAAAGAGATAGCTTTTATATATTGTATAGATAGTAAAGTATAGAATATAGATGCCATAATACACTTATATTTTAATTATGTTTCAAATTTACAAATGGCTTTAAATAATTGTTTGGATAGCTTTAATATATTAAAAGAGTTTTTTAGACCCTTCATTCTTATGTTTCTACACATAATTAACTTTACATTTAAAATTAACTTCCAAAATCACCTCTTAAATCAAAATTAAAGCCAAATATGATTTGGCTTAAAATTGCGGACAAAATTTGTAGGGAACTACTTTAATATAATGTACAGATAAGAATGCCAAATAGGTGACTTGATTTGCTTTTTTAAAGGTGAGTTACACATTGGGCACGTTTCTTTTCTCATTGTTAACAAGGAAATACAGTAAATATAATCCCAATGTTAAACCAAATAAGATTTAAACAATCACACAGAAAAACAAAGTCATAAAGGGAAGGGTTGTGGGCCGAATTGAAATTTAATGATGATCTCAATCACACAAGTTAAATGGAAAAAAACAATATAAGGCAAAAAGCGGGGGTGAGTTTGTGAATGAATGTTTTGGAAGGGAAGTGTTATCAAATGGACAAAGAGAAATGGGCTAGCTTGTTAGTACGAGTGGACAGGGCGAATGTCTTGGGCGAGCCGCACTGTCCCTTGCCGCTAGGAAAATATATATATTTTAGAAAAAGGTCAGAGACAAGTAAACTCTCATAGGAAAAGAATATATTTTTTAAAAAAAGGTGAGAGACAAGTAAACTACTATACTAACATCTAGCAATACTAACGGTAGAGGCTTTTACATTTGCAAAGTCGGAAGTATAGATTAAACTTCGGCAGATGGAATGGATGATTGAGATTGGAGGGGTCCACGCGACCCCAGGCTGGTGCTGTGTTGAATACTAGTAGTAGTAGAGGCCCATTATTAACCGGCTTTTTCCTGATGTGGGAATCTCTTCTGAGCTCTCCTCAGTCGCTGACACCATTTCCCATTACCCATTTCACATTTGCCATTAGCCACCCATCCTCTCTCTCTCTCTCTCTCTCTCTCTCTCTCTCTCCCTCTGCGGCCCTGCGCTGCATAATATTCCCTTCTAGTCTGGCTATCTCTGCTGTGCTTGTGGTTCTTGGGATTTATCACTCTTGTATTTGTTTTCTATTTGTATTGCTGTACAATTTGTTGGCCAACTTCAATTTTTAATTTTCTAGACAGTTATCTCCAACTAAATTTTAATTTCCAAGGCAGTTGTTGTCGTGCACTTGTAATTTGATTTTCTTTTATTTTTAAAGGAAACAAAGGGAGGGAAGCTTTTTTAATTTCTTCGGCTCTTCTCATTTTACCAAGACTAGTATTATATTTCAAAATTAAAGAATAAGCTTTTGTCCATGTCTGATTTGCAAGTTTCCCAATTCATTTCCCAGCACGTTAAGTGATGACGATGGGTTTTAATTTAATCTTTTGGGAGCAAGAAGGAAACATCTCCGAGTTCTTTCGGCGTGCTCCCTGCCAATGTCTCTGCTTACGCATTTTCTTTCACATTCTATTCCAGAAAAATTAATTAGTTAACTAATTATAGAACTATTGTTTTATTTAATTATTATTTATTGGAAGAAATGTCGTTTTTTGTGCTAATCACGGAATACAGGATTGAAACATGAAATCGTAAGGTTAGAGATTGATTAAAAATAAAAATCAGTCATTTTTAATATTTGTATTTCAA